AGTTGCAGGAAAAGAACTCCAAGGGCAAAGCAACGCAGCCACAGAAATTAGAGATGGAGAAGTAGCATTATGTCATCTCGCCTTTCCTTCTGGCCAGTCGCTGGGCTGATTTCCTATTCTCTTGTGCTGTTTGAAAATGACTTCAGCAACTTGGTTTCTGCTTGTTCCCGTGGGGAACTTCCACAGCCTATAGATTTCCCTGGTAGGAAACTCTTCTTGACAGTCAGGCTCTATTTTCCTTTGCTCGATTCCATCACATCACTCCTACTTACGCCTCCTTGGAGCACCCTAAACGCTCTTCCCCACTGAAGTCGGTGGAGTTATGCGAGCAGTAAATTCGGCCCGTGGCACTTGGAGAAATAGATATTAAAGCCCCAGGGACAAATTAGGGGGTGAGGGGAGGGAGGGCAGTGGGGGAAAGGAAATGGTTTCAGGTTGAGAGAAACAAGATCTCCTCTTACATCTGTACAGAGGCGCTGCCCACTGCCCAGCTCCGTACTGGGGTGCACAGCCCCAAGCACCACTGTGGCTGAGCCACATCTGAGAGCTGTGGCACCTGGTGTGGGTGTGCAGGGACTGCATGAGGCCCCGGGCACCTCCTGGGATGGGCAGTGGCTGCTGGACCAGCGATCTGATCCTGGGATCCTGCCTGTGCCTCCCTGGGGTAATGTTTTTCAGGAGTAAAATGCCCTTAGCCCTCTCTGCTGGCTGTTACCTCACTGTCATGGCATCAGTATGAATGCAGCAGATGTGTGTGGCGGTGGGCTTGCTGTGGGATAACAGCAGAGGCAGCTGCCAATGGATGCACTGAGTTTGTTCTTCCTCAGTCCTCAGCTCCCTTCTTGCCTCAGAATCACAGCAGTGCAGCATCACCCAGCACCACCTGCACATGTGGCACAGGAGGGGACGACCCTGAGGACCCCCTAGGGTGGAGCAAATGGAGTAAACGTACACAGGAATTCTCTTCTCTGGGACTGTGCACAGGGGCAAGGATGGAGGAAACGGACAAATGAGGGACATCAGTGTGCTGTGACAGACCATTAAGGACAAAAGCATCATAGGCAGACACACATCTGAGTATGAAATAGCATGCAGAAGCCCCAGGCCAAACACTGCAGCTCAGTGTGCTGCAGGTGCTGTATGTTCCCCCAAAGCAGGAGGCTTTGGCTGGCCACCTCCTCTCTGACCAGGTCTGTGCGTGACACAGCACTCCTGGGTGACACAGCCCAAGGATCTTCCCATGAACACACACCTGCTGAACATCATTAAATGGGAGATGGCTTTTTCAGACCACATCAGAAAAATGGCATCTTGCTAGAGCAGAACCAGGAGCGCCCAGCCCTGATTTTGGGTGCCTGCCCCAAGCAGGACCAGCTGCTCCTTGCAGATCTTACAAAGAGCTGTGTGCGCCCTACGAGTCTCCATACTTCAGAAATAAAGGTAAACAAAACACTTTGCATTTCAGAACCATTGGACAGGTAACTTTCACCAAAAGAACGGATTTTCTAACTGGGGAAAGCAAAGCACCAGGAAGCTCCACCAAAGGCCCAGAGGATGGGAGATAGGAGATGCTGTGCAGAGTAATCCTCCAAGGAGGTGCTGGAAGCGTGAGCACGAGCACTGCATCCCTACACTTCAGTTTGTGCCTTTCCTCCCCAGTGCTGCTCCATGGAGCTGCCCCCCCTCTGCCCAGAGCCCTCGGTGACAGCTCTCCCCTTTGCCACTTGTAAGGAGAAAACTCCCAAAGCCCAACTGCAGAAGATACAATTACAGTAAAACCTATCTTGGGGCTATTTTGCTTAAAAAGCCAATCCAACTTTTACAAGCTACAGCTGACATATATTAAGAGCTTAAACCAAACTTTCTATGACATTTTGTTGATGTTATCCCGGCTGGTGCTGGTAGACATAAGGAACAATGAGAATTACTCCATCTGAAGGGTTTTCCTCTTTCCTCGTGGGTGTCACAGCGAGCTGTGCAAGAACTCAGGGTGGGGAGGTGGGCACAGCCACGATGCCACCTGCTGAGCAGCCACTGCTTTATGGGCTTTATGTGGCCAGCTCCTGTTTAATTCTGCTCCCAGTCACCAGTCTGGGTCAGGCTGCAGAGCTTCACCAACGCACCGAGGGAAACTGGAAAGTGATTCCTCCTGTGTCACACCCCTGCTTGCTTCACATCCACTTTCTGCACCATAGACAGCCCAGCAACGCCATCTATTTTAGCTTGCAGCAGAGAAGTGCTTTGCAGTGCTTTGCTGTTTGACTCCATAGCTGCAGCACAGATGCTCTCCACAAGCAGATGTGCTCCCAACGCTTGCTTTGCCAGCTCCTGGTCCCAGGCAGGATGGTGCTCCTGGCACTGGCACTGATGGGTCCAGAATGCTCTTAGCTCTGCTGTTACCCTCTGGGTGACTTTTGGGAAAGTCACACACTCCTCAGGGTTTTATTTCCCACCGGTTTAGTTTGTGTGTAAATCTCTGTAGCAGGGATTGTTTCAAAAAATGATGGCGCAACACCCAGCGTGGTGGGAGCAATCCACTCTTCATGCATCTGAGATATGAAGAAGTCTACATTGTGATGTCACTTCTGACACACATGAAAATCAAAGTCCTTGGTGGGGAGATTTTGCCTTTTATACTGCAATACGTTGGCATCAAAATTACGAAAAGGCAGAGGTTCCATTAAAGCAACAGTGCTCTGGGGGTGGGTCCATCTAGTCCAGTGTTCTCTGCACTTTCAGTAACGACGTGGTAGAAAAGCCGTATGTGTGCACTGAAGCTACCAGGCTGGGTGTTTGCTGGAGGGATGTTGGGTAAGGAACATCCGTGGAGCGTGAAAAATTCCTTTGGGATCCTTGGAAAGGACTGGCATGAGCTGGTCCTGCAGGAGAAGCTCACGGAGCTGCCAGCATCTCCTCTGCCAGCATTCAAAATCTGCTTTCATAGGCTGCTGCACTGCATTTACTTGCTGTCTTATTCCTGGTATAATAGATAGTGTCAAACCTTGCCAGGTGCTGGTGCAAAGGCAGATTTCATAAAATACAGTGGTGCAGAGCGTGGCTCATCAAACAGCTAACAGATAGAACCATAGAATCACAGCATGCTTGGGTTGGGAGTGACCTCACAGCCCCCCAGCCCCACTCCTGCCATGGACTGGCTGCCCCCCCAGATTAGGCTGCCCAGAGCCCACCCACGGCCTCGGGCACCTCCAGGGATGGGGCACCCATAGCTCTGGGCAGCAGTGCCAGGACCTCACCATCCTCTGAGTGAAGAATTTCCTCATCGCACTGCACCTCAGTCCCCTCTATCGATTGACAGGTACTTCCCAATGCTTTGGGGAGCAGCAGGCACTGACTGGGATGTCCACAGCACCACGACATCCCCGTGCCCAAGCCCCGTGGATGCAGCACCGAGGCAGCGTGGTGAACAGAGAGTGAGGAGCTCAAGGATGTGGGGTTAGATGATGGTTGGACTTGACCTCAAGGATCTTTTCCAATCTAAATGATCCTGATTCTGTCCTTCTGTAATCCTATCATTCTGTGATGGTACAAATCCCACCCTGCCTGTGACCTGCAGGAGAACACGCTGCCTTCCTGCTGCATCCAGCAGGGCTGTGCCTCTCCATGGGACGGCTGCATCCTCAGCTAACAGAGACACTGTGGGAGCTGAGGGTAACGTGGGCTGACAGGTATAATCTGGAATTGCATTATCTTGTCTTACGACTCTTTTTTCTGTGTCTGTACAGCAGGGAGACCTCTGAACCATCGTCTTTGCTCTAGCAATTAAGCTTACTATTTTGCCATTAAATCTGGTTTGGGGATAAGGGTGGGTCTGGTTCACATTCCTGAGTGAGAGCCCTGGGGGACGATGAAGCCACCGGGGGGGGGTCGGGGGTGACCCTCCCACACGTGAGCTTACAGCATCCCGAAAGCCCTCCGACTTCGGGCCTCATCCTGACCGGTGTAGGACGGTCTGCGGTGGTTTTACATCCCCAGAACAGCGGCTGGATTGGCGGCACTGAGGATCCCTGCAAATCCCACCCACCCCAACATAGCGGGGAAGCGAGGCCGTCCCCGTTTGTCCCCGCGCTGTCCCTCCGGCTGACGATCGGCCGTTCTGCGCTCGTACTCCGAGGCTTTTTTAATCGCTGCGTTCTCAGCACAGCCGGAGTGATGCGATATTTTGGGAGAGGTGTTTCAGATGACAGCACTCACGGCTGTGAAGCGTCGCTAAACGGCCTCGAGAGCCCCAGAGCCGGCAGTGCCGCGGTTCGGTTGGACACGCGGTTTGCACGGCGCTGCGTTGGTTCAGCCCCGCGGGGCTTCGCACGGAGCCGCCCCGCCTGTGCCCGCACTGTCCCGCCGCGGGACGAGCGGTCCGGGACCCCATTCCCGCGGTCGGGGCCGCCTGCTCCACCTCGGACCTCGCCCGTCTCGACAGCGTGCCGCCCTGTCGCGACACGGCCCGGTCCGCCGCACCGCGCGCCGCGAGGCTCGGGCCGCTCCCGGCCCTGCCGGGCGCTCAGCCAATCGGCGCCTCTCCTCACCGCCCACCTCCCCGGCGCTCCGCCCCCTCGGCCCACCCTCTCTCCTCATAGGCTGCGGTCGGGCTCATTATGCGGAGTGATGCGGCGCTGATTGG